AAAGTTTCAGCAACTATGACAAAAGATATTTTTATAAAAATTAGTAACTGCAGCTTTAAAGGTCCAGTGTGTAACTGTGTCAAAAATGGAATATAATATTAGTATGTATAATCACATAATATAGGAATTGTCGTGATACCTCAGAATGAGCTATTTTCATCTTGAGACATCAATGGTCGCCCTCCTTGGAGTCCTAGGGTAGCCCAGAAGGGACAAACAAAACACTGGTTGTAGATCTCGCATTTCTCGTGAGTTTTGCGGCCACAGTAGTTTCTCATACACACTTCACAGCCCGTTCTTATTCCCAGGTATCAACTTTTGTATGCTACCTAGTGGTTCCAACCTTTTTCTTTACGGAACCCCTTCTCATCATTGAGTAAACTGAAACCCAAGACTGAGTGATATGCTTTATGGATGTTTCCTATTATATTCAAAACTGTACAATGAAACCAAAAGTGAACTCAGTAACTGCAGGAAGTGTCAATATAAACTGCATTTACAAGAAGCCTACTATTCTATGGTAGAAAGACAGGAAGAAAAATCGTAAAACATGTAAACAATTAACCTGATAACTTTCTGGCTGAGTTCTCTCTGCGCAAAATCTGTAAAAAAAGAAAAGGTTCCAGCTTCAGCTTCTGAGCTGAACTGAACCTATGCAAAGACTTTTTTTTTTTAAATTCTCCAAGGTTTGAACATTACTGGACACCAAGAGGGTAGGAAAAGAAGAAATACCAATTCAAACAAGTCCATGAAAAAAATGACAAATCTGGGATAGACTGTTAAACAAATGATGCCAAATTTAACAAAATATGACAAAACTATTAGAAATTATGGTTGAAAGGTAACCGTTGAGAAAGACGAATACATGACATATTCATCACTTTTGATTATTAATCACTGTTCTGATTAAATGTGTCTGTGCATATAAACACCTGATTGTACTAGATTTGGAAAGAAGAATTTTACTCTTTAGTCAGATTGTTCAGGAAGTTCCAGAGGGGCTAGTTCTGCATTATCAGAAAGCTACTTCATGGTCTAAATGTATGTTGCCATTGGTTCCAACTCAGCTACTGAGATTAGACACCTTAACTGTATGTATGTGTAGGTGTGTGTGGGTGGTGTGGTGTGTGTGCCCGTGGTGTATTTCCCTGGTTTGAGGAAGGGAGACAGTTGTAGCACCAGTTGTAGCAGAAACTGTTTGTCACACAGTCGCCATGCAACGTCATATTCTTCGGCAATGGCCACCCGACCTGCACAGAAACAAACTCAAGCACCATAGCATGCACACCATGATCAGTTCCATGTACACCTTTGGTCTCTTCGCCCACTATACTTTAATCTATTTTAATCGTAAACATGCGAACCTCGTACTTGCTACCATAGAACATTTAAGCTAGGTCTTCCCGACCACTCAAACACTTTTACCACTACGTGCCACCATTCACCTTTACAACACCACCTCCACTCCCCACCGTGATGGTACACAGTCCATCAAACCAGAAACCTACACCTCCATCTTAACCCACCCATGCTAATGCAATCCAGGCAGGCAATTTGGCGCGTCTCGACGATCTCTCTCGCTCAAGGATACTTCAACACATGGCAGCGGGAAGCCCAGCGACACCCCTCACACCCACACCCCACACCTCTCCGCACTTCGGCGTGCGGCACCCTCCCCCTCCTGCTCTCGCCGCCAGCCCGCACCCGCCCCACCTCCCTCCCTCCCCTACTCCACTGCTCAGCACACGTCGCTCACCACCCACTCCCCACCTCCCCAAACCCCCCTCCCAATAGGTTGCCTTTGGTCTCTTCGCCCACTATACTTTAATCTATTTTAATCGTAAACATGCGAACCTCGTACTTGCTACCATAGAACATTTAAGCTAGGTCTTCCCGACCACTCAAACACTTTTACCACTACGTGCCACCATTCACCTTTACAACACCACCTCCACTCCCCACCGTGATGGTACACAGTCCATCAAACCAGAAACCTACACCTCCATCTTAACCCACCCATGCTAATGCAATCCAGGCAGGCAATTTGGCGCGTCTCGA